TATGTCACTAACTAATTATGATACTTCATTTTGAACATACGAATATTCTTTTGTTGGCTATATTTTAAAAGTTTAGTGGCTATTATCCCCTAGCCCCTTTTTGATCCCCGCTGTTCTGTAGCTTCTAAAACATAAATCAGTTCAGTCAGCAACAAAGTGGTAAAAAAAGAGTTTTTTTACTCCATGTTGGCTCGAGATAAAATGAGAATGAAGATCTTTTTGTGTGTTTGGAGGGAGATTTTGTGATTTCCAAAGACATCAATCTCTATCATGTCTCGTTTATGGGATCCTCTCTTGCTCTTGCTCACAGTCTTCTCTCTCTCTCTCTCTCTCTCTCTCTCTCTCTCGCCACTTGTGCTGCCATCTGTTCTCGATTAATGTGAGTTACGAGCAGTAATTGAAGCAGCTGTTCATCTGGTGAGCATCCTTTGCTCTGACACACAGCACCTCTCTCAGTCACCATCTCTCACCTTCATTTTCTTTGTTTCTTTGATTCGATCTACTATTATTTTTTGCTGGTTCGACACTTTGCTTCAGACAAAATGTCTCAGCAGTTGCCAGACAGATAAATATATTACAAAAACACACCTGTTCGGTCAGTTGGTGATTCTAACTTGGTCATTGGTTATTGTTTAAAATGGATGGAACAAAGCATTTGTGTATGTAGTAGGTAATGTAGGTGTAGGATTTTGTGTCACATATTTAGTGAGTCCTTACCTTTATTTCTAACGGCTTTATTTTTCTTTTTAATTATTAATTAATTAATATCTTTACTTTTCTTGAACAGGGATTTAAGTGTAAATCAAAGCGTAAAGTTGGTCTAATGTCATTTATAAAAACTTTCATTACAAACTAAGCCCCATTGGTGAAATTTCAGAGAAATAAAGATAAAAGATATCACCAACATCTCCACTTTTGTTTCATTTTATTTGTGTACTTCACGGGTCTTTCAGAAACTTGGATAAGACTTTTTAAAAAGCAATGAAAGTAAAGAATGGAAAAAATAGCTCACCTTCTTAAAGCAATATTAAGTCCCAAGTCACAATACAGCAACACCTCAAACATTTAGACTTTTACTTAACTGAAATACTCTGCCAGTAACACTATCACATCATATTTATTTTAAACAGTAACGATGAAATGAATCAAGAAACAAGAAATCACTGAAAAACAATCTGCTCTAAATACTAAATATAAAAATCCTGAATAATCTAGTTCTCTGGTGCAAACGACATTTCAACCAGCCAACTTTTTCTTTCGTACTTGTGGCTTTTGTGGTAGTGCAGTTTTTATTTGATGCAGTACAGTATAGCACTAGTTTTAGGTAAACAGTAATTGTAATTTTAAAGGCGTCTGTTAACAGGTCTTTACTGACTTGCTGTTATTTTAGTCAATAACAAATTCAGTAAAGCACTGGGGATCTCTCTTTGTGTTCACAGGTATAATATATGACAGCCATATCAAATTCATTTGTTTTTCAACAGGCTACTTTTTAAACATTTAAAGTATGATATAAAGTAATTTTGTTACTGTAAAATAGTTCCCAACAAATTTGTCCATTTTTATTCATCTACCATGATACAGTCAAATTTAGGTGCATATGGTCACTTCTGGCTTCACTATAACATTGAGGCTTCAAAATGCAGAGTTTAAATCCAGCGAGTGATGTTATGGTGGATATGTTCATCTTTTTATAAAGTCTATGGGCGGAACACAGGCAGTCATTTAGGACCGCTTTTCTGGTCACTGGTCAAAGTTCAGTCCTGAGTCTCTTTTAGCACTTTTGGTTGTCCCCATCTACTCTCTAAAGAAATATCTTTTTAGCTACTAAATGCCCCACTGTGTTCACTGATTCTGACTGTGTACAGAATTTTCTTTTTTTTTTACTATGACAGCAGCAAGATTGAACCACACAGTAAATCAATGGAACGAACAGTTTATCTCTATGCTGAAAATCTCTAAAAACTCACAGAAAGGTAGGGGACCTGTAGATTCACTTAAATCTTTGTTGGTAATCATTTGGTATTTTAAAAATATTTAAATTAATAACATAAACAATGATTGAGTTCTACGTAAGTATGAACAAAGAAAACATGTCAGCTCACCTGTCAGCTGATGTTAAAGGGCCCGTCTAAGTGCTCAACTGGGAATCAGTGTGAAATACCTGCAAACCAGACATAACCGCAGCAGCTTGGGAAGAGACTCTGTAATCTGACAGGATTTTTCAGAGATGTTCCAGAACACCGCTGAGAGAAAGAATGAATAAACGATACCAAGAGTGTGTTTCTGTGTTCACGAGGTGGTGGTGTTGTGTGTGTGTCTCTGTAAGGCTGTCTGCACCCCCTGCATGTGCTTAGTGGGCAGCGTAGCCAGACTGAGCTAATAGGCAGGATGTGTGTGAGCAGGAGGCTGGAGGTGGTGGTGGAGGCAGACTCTTCCTGCTGTCATTTTCTGTCTGGATCTGGCATGTTTACGCCACTGATAGGGGTAGAACGTTCTTACACACACACCTATATAGATCTAACCTCTCATCCTCACTCTCTCACTCCCATACGCACACATGCTACTCAACCTTACCCATTATGCTGCTTGTCTGCTCATGCAGAGATAATGATCATCACTGTGATTATAACTTTCCTCCTCTGATATAATTATCCTTTTTGACTGGATTTTCCCCCTAGAAGGTCCAGAATAGAACATGAATGCCTAAATGAGAAACACTGCATCCTACACACACTAGCCAGATCAGCATGAAGGCAACAGTTTTGAGGGGCAGTGCTAAGTAGAGGTAGGCACACAGGTGGGGTGTCCATATGTCACCCCAGCACTACATCCCAGTCTAGCTCCTCTTCTATCCTCTCCAGCCTGCATGAGGGTCAGAGGGCAGGTTGCTATATCTCTATCCCCAGCACGGACACTTGGCATCATTGCTGGTAGTTGATACTACTTTACAATAGATACAATTATCAAATGGAAATTAAATTTTTTTCCCAGTCTAGTGCATGACCCAGACACACACAGTTTATTAAGATAAGATAAGATAAGATAAGATACCTTTATTAGTCCCACGAGGGGAAATTTCATGTTAAGGCTGCCGACCTATTGCACGCATTGGCGGCGCCATCTTTCCCTCCGACCATACATAGATTACACGAAAACATCACATGGGGAAGACAGGTCAGAGAGGTATAACAATGGAAAAGCACCACATGAGGAAAGATAAGGAGAAAAAACTAACTCCCCCCAGACTGAGCTCCAATAGGGAGATCAGTTTGAGAACAGAAAAAAAAACACCTCTGCACATAGCACATGAAAAAACTCTTAATACACCAAAGAAACACATGACAAGCAACAGGGATGGGTAAAGGGTGAGAGACAGCCAGTCTCCTTGATCCACCGTCAGCATCAGAAGGGAATAAGCGTTGAAGGCGTTTGGAGGGGTAAGGGGGGATGAGTGTACATCTGCATGTGTATATATATGTCTGTGTGTGTGTGTGTGTCCAGAGTTCAGTTGAGACAGTGTCCTTAGCCTTGCCAGGCTAAGTAAACAGTCTTCCAGCCAACCCGGGTGGCCTTGCATAGAATGGGAAGAACAGTCTAAACACAGTCCATATCAGGGTGTTGCTGTTCAGCTCCAGCCTTGAGACCGCAGCTGGCGCTGAAGGGGTATCCGCATGAAGTGATGGCGGTTTTTACTTTAGTGCGAACAACTCATGGGAATTTAAAGTTGTTCTAACAGTCCAACACTGGTCTCTCAATCTCCCGTTGGAGAGCCGTGAGCTTACGCTCCGTGATGTTGTCATTCTTGTGCTCAAAGAGCCGATTCTGAGAACTCACGACTGCAGTGAGCTTCTCCAAGATGTGATCCAGTTATCACTGAGAACCAAGAGAACCAGAAAATTTGTTAATTTAATCAACAGATGTTGATTGCCTGGTGTTATGGTTTAAGTTGTGGTTGTCAACAGGAATGACTTAGAGCTGTTGGAATTAATCCTGCCACTTTAAAGCATTTATTCAGTATTTATATACCCATTATTTGACAATCATTTTGGAGTACATTTATGATATTCCTAATGAAAGAGTTCTTATAATTTCTAAATGTATTTTTAAAATATACACTACCAGTCAAAAGTTTGGACACACCTTCTCATTTAATGGTTTTTCTTTATTTTTTACTACTTTCTGCATAGTAGATACATACTGAAGACATCAAATATATGACACAAGATATGTGGAATTATGTAGCAAATAAAAAATGATAAATAACTCTAGATATGTCTTATATTTTAGATTCCTGAAAATAGCTACACTTTAACACGCTTTGTTGACAGCGTTGCAAACCCTTGGTCTTCTCTCAAGGAGCTTCATGATGTAGTCACCTGAAATTGTTTTCACTTCGCAGGTGTGCCTTGTCAGAGTTTATTTGTGGAATTTCTTGCTTTCTTAATATGGTTGGGACCATCAGTTGTGTTGTGCAGAATGCAGGTTGGTACACAGCTCACAGCCCTGACAACTGTTAGCTGATTGGTTCTCACCATAATATAAATTTTAAATAAAGAGAAACAACAGTCCATCATTACTTTCAGAACTGAAGGTCACTCAATTCGGAAAATTGCTAACACCAAGGGCAGTCACAAAAACCATCTACTGTACGACTAAACTGGCTCACATGAGGACCGCCCCAGGAAAGGAAGACCAACAGTCAAGTCTGCTACTGAGGATAAATTCATCTGAGTCACCAGCCTCAGAAATTGCAAGTTGACAGCATCTCAGATTAGAGCCCAGATAAATGCCACACAGAGTTCCAGTAGCAGACAAATCTCTACATCAACTGTTCAGAGGAGACTGCAAAAATCAGCCTTTACTGTCAAATAGCTGCTAAGAAACCACTACTAAGGAAAAGCAACAAGCAGAAGAGATTTGTTTGGGCCAAGAGACATCAGGAATGAAAGACCAGTGGAAATCTGTGCTCTGGTCTGATGAGTCCAAATTTGAGATCTTTGGTTCCCCCTGCCATGTCTTTGTGCAACACAGAAAAGGTGAACGGATGGTCTCTACATGCATGGTTTCCACTGTGAAGCATGGAGGAGGAGGTGTAGGGGTGCTTTGCTGATGACACTGTTGGGGATTTATTCAAAACTGAAGGCATACTCAACCAGTATGGCTGCCACAGCATCCTGCAGCGACATGCCATCCCATCCAGTTTGCATTTAGTTGGACCATCATTAATTTTTCAACAGGACGATGACCTCCAGAGTGTATAAGGGCTATTTGACCAAAAAGGAGAGTAATGGAGGGCTGCACCAGATGGCCTGGCCTCCATAGTCACCTGACCTAAACCCAGTTCTGATGGTCTGGGATGAGATGGACCGCAGAGTGAAGGCAAAAGGGCCAACAAGTGCTCAGCATCTCTGAGAACACCTTGAAGACTGTTGGAAAACTGTCAAAGGGGATTAACTGCATGGTGCAGTATATTTACAGGTGCAGGGAAAGGGGGCACAGGGTTCCAGGGGGGAAAGTGGGGAATCCACACAGTCTCTGTTCTCCTCTTCTTGCTCACACAATCACTCCTCTTCTGCCACTCACACTTCTCCACGCTCTATGCCACTCCGACAAACAGACACTCCAAACTGGTTAAGGGACAGGTCCAAGAAATCTATGTACAAAGAGAGATCAGGTTAGGAACACTAGTGGACGGAGACTTGAGAACAAACTCTAGGATTTTGCCGGCAATATGAACTCAGATAGCTCAACGATCCACAACATTAAAACCTTAAACCAGCTTCTTGAAACTCACTTTAATTGGACAGCTTAAGTATTTCATATTTTGTAGCAATTTAACTTTTGGCTCTGATTTTTTGAAAAGTGCTCCACAAATAGAGAATATTATAATATTAGCCTGCTGTGACTGACTGAGGCATTTTCATAATGAGTGTGTTAAGGCATATGGCCTCAGCTGTAATTACCAACCATTTAAATCACTTTCGTGTTAATCATCAGTGAAATGACACCGTGGTCTGTTCACATTCTGCACTGAGACTTGACCTCAGACTCCATTTGTTTCAATGAAGCTGTCTGAAGATGAGGATGGGACAAAGACGGCATGGCTGTAGAAAGTGGCAGGCGGGACAGCAGCTAGCATGTAATCTAATTGATCTCCTCTTTGTCTTAATTCACTCACTGTCATGAGAGCTTGTGCTTAAATGGGGGGAGGGAGGGTTGGATGATAAATGAGAAGTAAAAAGAAGAGGAATGAAGGCGAAGAGAGAAGGGGGCAAGACAATTAGGTTACAGTAAGGTCAGCAGTGAGAGAAGAAGATGATATGTTTGTGTTGCACGTGCCGTCTCTTGAGTTGTCTTCATGAATCTGATGTCATGATGCATTGTCTCTAATCCAGCTGTGAAATGCACAAAGGGTCCTAATGAAATGCATGTTGCTGTGTGTTATATGGAAAGAGTGTGTAACCAATGTGTAAATGCCACATCGGTGCTCGACCTTTTCATTATTTAAGGTTATGTGAAAATCACTGAGCACTTCTTAAAAAGTTACTTTTAATCCAAAGGTTGTTTTTACTACTGTTGGAGTCAAATTGTTAATGTTGCCATTATTGTACTTAAATTTGTAAGGCTTGGTTCAAACTATATGGTCAAAGACATTACTTTGTTTCTGACTCGCTCCCCTGCCTGTTGGTGGAGGAGGCTATAGTGTTTTATAGGAGCACATCCTATGTGAGGGTTCTGTTTTCTTGTTTAGTAAACTTCCTGCCTTTATGACCCTATTGTGGACAGGAGGTCACACAAACGCACCCCCAGACACAAACACACACTCTCACGTGCACATCCATACACATACATACACACACGCACATGCATACACACCTAGTGCCTGACACCATAGGGGGATTTTACAATGAGTGTTTGTGAAACTGTGTGTCACAGAAATAAAAGGCTGCTGTGGGGTGATTGTTCTTCGAAGTGGTCTTACACCGAGGGTAGAAGGGCTGCTCTGAGATCCTTCCCTTGCTAGCATGTGAAAAACCGGTTGAGGTGTTCATCTTGCTTCGTTATCGGGAATATGTCTCTAAACCAGCGGGTCTGTGGAAGCGCAGACCCAACAACTACAGCTAATGTACCTGAGTTATCAGACACTGAATAATGATGTCTTGCTGTGTTTGATGACCAAATATCAAAGCAAATAAAAAATCTATAAATAGAACAGGTTTCATTTGGGAACATTTAGGATACCCCACATTAAAAACAAAGAATATTAGATGCATGGCTAACACATATGTGCAAATAAATCAAACAGTACAGTAGTGTGTGGACTAGCAAGTAGATTAGACTAAAGTAAAAATGTTTTAGAGAAGAGCACAGTTTTCTGTGTGCTTTTAAACAATTCAAAAGCAGCTGCTGGAACCATAGAACAAAAACAGCTGTGCCAAACTCTGTTAACTATCAAGTGTAACTGTTCTCCTTATTCAGAATGGGTTCTGTAAATGTTTAAACTATTGGATCTTTTTCAGAGCCTTCTCAAAGACAGTCATGTAAAAATCTAAAATGGAAAGACTTCTGGCTTGCTGAACAGGAGGCTATTCCCTAACAGTACAGCCAAGTGTTAAGGACATAAATGAAGAAACAAAACTTGTAATATTTATAATGTCTTTGTTCAACAGTCAGACTTCAAAGCAACAATCCAAATTTAGAGATAAATATGATAAATAAGGATATTACATTTTTTTAAACTTAACTTTTCATGGTGTGAACAAAGAACCAAACAGACCATTTAAAGTGAAAGTTCTGTTATGTAGTGTTAATATGGCGAATGTTTGTATTAAACATGGTCTAAAGTTAGTGTATTGATCCCCAGCTCCTCCACTCCATGTGTCACCATATTTTTGGATACACCAGAGTGCGAGTGTGTGTGTGAATGTTAGATAAGAAGCACTTAGGCATATAAGAAGAAAAAAGAGTGCAGTATGAATGCGTGTCTGCTTTGGTGAATAAGACCTGTAATATAAAGTGCTGAAAGTGAATAGTAAGGTGCTATATAAGTACCCGTCCATTTAGCATTTTGCTAAATTAATCACCGCTATGCCCTTTTATGTATACATGTAGCTTTATTGCTGTTTTGCATAAAACTGCAGTTATATATTTTTGCAGTATTTCAACAAACCTCAGAAGAGAAATAAACAAGTGTTTCAAAATGTCAAAAAATATGAAATTTAAAAAATTTAAAAAAAATTATAATTGTGTTTTTTCTTTTCAGGCTTACTTTCGTCAGGGTGTTGCCCTACAGTACCTGGGTCGTCATGCCGATGCCCTGGCAGCGTTCGCTTCCGGCCTCGCCCAAGACCCCAAGAGTCTCCAGCTGCTTGTTGGTATGGTGGAGGCTGCCATGAAGTCGCCTCTAAGAGGTGGGCATGTCTAACACCGGACTTCATTCCGCCTTTCTCTCACTGTGCCAACACATCTGAAACAACATGACTCACATTTACAAGGGGAGAGACAAACAAAAGAACATCATAAGCAGAAAACTACAATTTTGTGCTGGAAAACTTGTAGGCAAGGAAAGTTAGATGTATGCACTAGGGAAACTGCCAAGTTATTACTTTTCTTTTATTCTTTTATTCAGTAGCCCTCCTCCTGGACTAGGATGTGAAAAAAAATAAAAAGATCCCTCTGATGATTCAGGCCGCACAAAGAAAGGGATGCATGTTTGATACGAGAGATGAGAGATATATAGAGAAAAGAGAGATTCAGAAAATGCATAAAACAAGCATCTTAGATAGAACGGAAAGAGAAACGTGGAGATAAAAGGTAGTCATTGCCAGCTTCCACTTGTGGAAGTAAAGGAATGACTCTCATCCATTCCTGCTTCAGATGAATCTTCTTGACAATGAAGTGACAGGTGTCACATCTACTGCCAATTATAAAGACTGTTGTTTTCTGGTGTCTCCCACAGTCATATTTATTTACATTCAGGTACAGCGAGTGAGTGGATGTGTTATACACAAGGACTCTCCGAAGCAAGTTACAGTATTAATGCTGTCAACATAACATTATTGAAGCCATCTAAGTTAAGAAAGGTAAAAAATGAATAGGTATATATGACATGGTATGATTTTTCTGAGACATGGGCAGGATTCACATGTTGTTTCAGCTCTTGACTGTGGGTGTGCCTTATATTTAGGCTGGAGCCCAACACAACCTAACAGATTAAAGGAGTAAGGATTAGCCAATCTAGCTGCCTTTTATAAATTTGCTTATACAACAACAGCATAACAGGGTGATGATTCTCTGAAGTGACCAACAACTAGATACAAGTTATGTTTACATGTCATAACATAATTTGATTGACAGGCAGCAGCACTGGTGTATTTGAATAAATACGATTTGATTGTTGAAGCTGAACTTTCCTTCAGTTCTTGAGCCCTCAAGAAATATAGCTTTGTTAGGCAAAATCTTTGTAACACAAAGAATTACATAATTGTTACTGTAAAGTGATTGTTGAATTTAGTACAATAATGCACTATGAAAAAATGTAATGTGATTACAGTGATTGTAAGGTAGAGTACTCCTAAAGCCCAGACAAAATGGGAGGATTGTGTCAGAAAGAGCATCTGGTACAAAATCTGTGCCAAAGCAAAAGCAGGAAAACCAACCATCTGTCCAAATATCCATCCATTATCCTTACTGTTTGGAAGCTGTAGCCCCAGCTGACTTAGCCAACATGTTTTTGGACTATGGCAAAAAAACATGCAAAGTCTACACAGACAGACCCCAGGCAACTTTTTCTCTGTATCTACTGTACAATATAAAGCGCCTTGAGGCGACTTTTGTTGTGATTTGGCGCTATATGAATAAAATTGAATTGAAAATTGAATTGAATTGAACTAGGACCTTCTTCCTGTGAACAAGCATTGCTACCCACTGTACCGCTGTGTGGGCCCACAAAAAATTTGGACCTGTCCAGTTGTAGTTGCACTATAGACCTCCACATGTCCAGCATGCATACAAATAAACAACAGAGTCGTGTTTAAACAGGCTTGTAGCAGGCAAAATACAGTAACACAGAATGTCATAAATAGGAAACTTGGTGGCTTTATGACTTGATAGCTTTATATGGACCAAACTGCAATTAAAAAAGGCTATAGGGGAGAATTTTGATTTTTTTTTTTTTTTTTTTTTAAATTAAAGCCAGTAAAATAGAAAAATAATTCTCTGCCATAAAGGGATGCATCATCTTTACTTTTAAACCCCAAACTGTAGATACTGAGCAAGATGGTTATGAAAAAATGTAATTTGATGCACAACTAGAGCTGTGGGATAAATGAGCACATTAGCCGCCGAGAAATGTAGTAGAGCAGAATTATAATGTATATGTACTTTGTTACATTCCATTTCTATTGGTGTTGAATTTTGTGGGTTTTTGATTAAGTCAAAGGTACACTTCAGCGCCGAGATTACATTTTAGACAGATCGTAAACTGCAGCTTCTTTAAATGCAGACAGCACATTGCCAGCGGCTGAAGCAGGCCACAGAGGTGGAATGCTAATTTTAAGGCCAAATACTAATTTCTAGAAATAATGACTGACATTTGAAAGATTTCAGTGGGTGTACACACTTCTGAAGCACGGAAAACTTATTATGTGTTCTGATTAATTCCTGATTATGTCCTCTTCCAGATTTAGGAAGTTCACAAACATCCTTAAATTAAAGCGCTGTGGACACTGAAGGGTCTAGGTTAGTTTTATCATTATGTTTATTCACATGAATTTGCTTCTCGCAGGGTTCATGATGAAATATTTACAAGGTAGATTCTCATGTGTCATTGATCTAACCACCCCACAGTTCACAGTGTACTTTTATGTGTAGGTCTCAACAGCACACAAAGATGAAGGAAAAGTACAAACAATCAAGAATGGTTTGCAGGCTAGAATTTGCACTGGATTATGTTGTTTTGCCCTTCAGCTGTATCTGAATTAGATCTGGGCATTTGCATGTGTTCTTGCACCAGCCAACCTCCCTTCATCTTATTTCCCTTTGAGGTCCAACTTGTGTATCCAGTGGGGTTGAGCACAAGGCTATTGATAATGGACTTTATCATGTTTCAAATTAGAAATTTACAACAGAAAACAAAAGACATTGTTTCAAAGTTTAAGCAGTAGCACTGCCAGAAGAATGGAGTAGATGGAAAACAAAAAATGCACATTTTGAAAATGATGACAGTATGTTTGAATCAGTGGCAGCAGCAAACAGTATATCATAACTGAGTCCAGCCTGGACTACAGCAAAGCTCTCCCGCAGGTCTGTTGCACTGCAGGAGGTTGTTCTCCCACCCAAGGGCAGCACCCTTCAAAACTTGATCTCTTATAATCTTCAAAGCAAGCCTCCAAGTAAAATTGAGTTGCAATGCTTGAGTAAGCAGTAGGCAGGGCAACATGTTGGACCATAGAGAATGTCAGTATAGTGTGCAGTACACACACACTAAGGAGCTGCATTGTTATCAGCATGAAAGAGTAGGAGGCTCCTCTGTCTTTCTAGGCCTCTAGGGTAGACAATTGTAACAGAACGCTATCTACTAGGTCCTCCTCAGATTACCCTGATAAACAAAACTTTTCAGTTTGACAAAGCAGAATGAAAGACTCGAAAAATGCAAATGGAAACTGCTACAGTTCATCTCAAATACTACAAAATATGACTTTTGACACAAGAGAACTGTTTTGTTTTGTTTTGTTTTGTTTTGTTTTGTTTTGTTTTGTTTTGTTTTGTTTTGTTTTGTTTTGTTTTGTTTTGTTTTGTTTTGTTTTGTTTTTTGGGGGGTTGGGAGGGGGTATTGAACTTGGAATAGATATATTTGTTTTTGTAAAAATATTTCAGTTAGTCCCTTTCAGCAGCAGCAATTTCAATTACATACTTTGTTATGGGTGAATGTGGATTTTTTTTTTCCTCCTAGATGTTCCACAAGCAATCGTTTTCCAATTTAGGGATTGTTTAATTGCATAGAACCCCAAAGAGTTGCGATCAACTTGAATAACAATAGCTTTACTTCATGTCTGCTCTGTGTGTCTGCTTCATTATGATATTCACATAGTGAAGGAGACACACGCGCGCCTGCTTGCACACAGAGTTGAACACAAAGCTGAGATGTGCTGCAATCTTTCCAAAACATGGAACATGGAACTTTAGTCCTTTATGTCTTTAAATAGAAAACTGTTGTTTGAGGCTACATACATTTAGCTTAAATTATATGAAAATGTCATCTGTGAAGCAGAATTTTGTAGATGTAGTTGTCATCAGATAGCAGATGCATATTTTTGTGTGTTTGCTCTGAGACTATAACATAGTAGCAAAAGGATATAAGATTCTGTGCTGTTTTACTTCAGACTTTTCTGAAGTTACACAGCACTTACAGAGCAATATAGACTTTAAAGTGTGCTTACATAAGCTTAAAATGGGTCATGCCAGACCTAATGAGGCTTTACCAGCATTGCTTCTAAGTGTGGGTGCATTTTATCGCTTATTAATGTAAGTCTCTACTTGTAAGAGTAAGTGTGATATTACTTCTTAAAAGTTGCATAGTGTTGCTTTGAAAGTGTGCACGAGCACAAACACAGAAGTTCCAGGGCTTCTGCTTTTATTTTACTTTCTGTGTAGAAAAAGAGCCAGGGCAGGTGTAGTGTTCTTTCTGTATCAGCAGGATGCTACAGTCCCACAGCCGAATGCCACAGGGCCAAGGAAGTTTTCAGGCCACACACTCAGTATCTTGTCCAATGGCGCTTAAGAATGGTCATATTAATGTTTGTAACACATAAAATGATAAATAATTGAATTTTCTTAAATCACCTGTGTTTTTGTCTATCTGTCACATCTTCACAGACACACTTGAGCCCACCTACCAGCAGCTGCAGAAGATGAAGCTAGACAAGAGTCCGTTTGTGGTTGTCTCCGTCATCGGCCAGGAGCTACTGACACATGGTTTCCATGGAGCCTCAGCTGTAGTTCTGGAGGCAGGGCTGAAGATTGGCACGTGCTCACTAAAGCTGCGTGGATCCGTCTACTCTGCCCTTAGTTCTGCATACTGGTCTTTAGGTAATATAGAGAAGAGTATGGCCTACATGCAACAGGACCTGGAGGTGACCAAGACTCTAGGTATGGAAAACTTGAAAGTAGTAGTTTATGGTGTGTGGAAAAACGGCTACAGTGTAGGTAAAATTCGTCTTCCACAGGTGACCAGTCAGGGGAATGTCGAGCTCATGGGAACCTCGGCTCTGCCCTTTTCTCCAAAAGCAATTACAGAGAAGCACTGGCCAATCACAGAAACCAGTTAGTACTGGCCATGAAGCTCAAGGACAGAGAAGTAAGTTTGCATGCATGTATTCATAAGGCACATTAGACATACACCCACTTCATCTTGGTTTAAATGTGTTTTGCTTCTGAAGGAAGCAGGTTAGAAAGAACAGTCCAATTGCTGTGTAGCAAAGTGGATATTAACATGGTTCTTGACATTACATTAACAACAGGTTATTTGTCTAAAGAGCTTCATTCTTAAGGAGAACATTTAGTATGCTGCTCATTGAAAAAAAGACATTGATGAAAGTAATTATTTTTTAAAGTGAGAAAAGAATATAAAATGTATATTGACATCTAATACCAAATGACATCTAATAGTATTTGATGACCTTGTCTCTAAAGGAAACAACCAGCTGGTGTAAATCTTTTTTTAAGACAGGTGATAAATTAAGAAAAACAAATAAAAAGCTGAAATGTCATCAGACAGAACCTGTGGATAAGTACAGTCTATTGTTCAGCTCTAGGTGGAACTCTAATGATGACAATAAAAACAAATTTTCATACTATCCATTTTCTACCGCTTTTCTGGGTTTGGATCTCGGAGGCAGCAGTATAGGCATAAAGTCTCAAACTTCATTCATGTCAACCACCTCTTCCAACCAATGACTCAGTCATTGCTTCCAATTCATCCAGGGAGACACCGGATGTGTCACGGCACTGAGTCTGCAACCCAGTATTTAGTTTCAGACTCTGGAATTATATTTTTTGATTATTGTTGTTGCTGGTTTTGGTTATCTTTATTTCTTATGTTCTTAGTGACTGTAGTCCTTCCTCCCTTAGTATCTATCTCAGCCTGTGTTTAGTCTCTGTTCCCATGTCTACTCTGTGCTGTGCCCATGTCCCACGTTTCATGTCTAGTCCCCCTTGTTTCTATGTTCTCTATGTGTCCCCAGTCACTGTGTTAAGCTTGCATTTCGGTCCGTGTGTTTCCTGTTTTATTTTGATAGTTCCTTGTCCTGTGTTCAGTGTACTCAGTTTTGCTTCCTCCCCATCTCGTTACGTCAGATTAGTCCCAGTGTTGTGTTTCCTTTCTGTTTCCCATTCCCTCATTACTCCCTGTGTTTTCCTCTGCCCATTGTCGCGTCATACCCTCTCTGTGCTGCTCCTGGTCTCCGTGTTTGTTTTCTCGTCAGCTCCTACTTTTTTAGTTTCTTTGTTTTCTAGTTTCTGGTCTCCTGAGTTCCTAGTTTCCTAGCTCCCGGTTATTATGTTTTGTTTTTTAGATCTAGTATTCAAGTTTTCCTAGTGAATAAAGCTGCCACTTTAAGTTACCTTTTCGTGTTCGAGTCCTGCACCTGGGTCCCACATCCTGCCTGCCACAGCACAGCCATGACAGGATGAGCCTGAGCCTGGTTTTGCCTAAGGTTTTAAGGTTTCTTCCTGTTAAAAGGGAGTTTTTCCTTCCCGGTGTCACCAGCGCTTGCTCATACAGGTCATTTGATATCTGTATTATTGTAGGGTCTTTACCTTACAGTATAAAGCACCTCAAGGCAACTGTTGTTGTGATTTGGTACTGTCACCAACCTAAAACCACATATTTAATAAAGAAAAGGCATGCAGATATTTATCTCTGTTCAACTTTCTCCCTGACATAAGAGATTCTGTCTAATCAATTAATTTGTCACAGTGATGACGTAGTGCAGTGACTGCATGTTATGTAATGCAATGATTTGTTGATTTGTTCTTTGGGAGCTTAACTTAGAATATTTTAAATATATTTCATATTTTAGAGTGATGGCTGATCAAGTATATACTGTACAATAAGAACAACTTTAATTATATATAATCATCTTGCGAGAAATTACATTGTCATAAAAATGTATTGAAACCAAAGAACAAACTTCAAATTTGCTCATATACATTCACTTGTTTTGACCTATACTCTTATCTTCTGTAACTTTTCCTGGAAAGCAATTTTTCATTATGCCAGTCCAAAGCTAAACACCTCACATTTCTCCTGAAACACTTTGGACAGTTATGAAAACCGTAGTTAATTAAATTGTTTTTACAGATTAGATTTCGGACCACTTTACGTCTAAAAGCACAAAGTAAAGCTGTCAGGTTGTTGGTGTGTGTTTCCCTACGTTTAACTTTCATATGTTTGTGAGAGTGTGTACATACAAATGTGTATATGTGTGCTGGTGAGTGTGCAACATGGAGTCATGGCAGATGTATTTATGGCTCACTGGATTTCATATGTAGTTGAATCTTATGAGTTGTGCTTGTGGCTCATTTTAAGGAATATTTTATTGGTGTTTTAATATTGTAGGATAAATCTAAACAACCATACTGATCACTGGTTTCTTTACACTGTATAGAAGACAGTTCTGGTAGCAACTAGATTAGTAAATATTTGAGCTTTTGTCTGATTTGATTTACATTTCTGTCATTATGCTGTTTTTCCTTTCACTGTTTTCTTCCAGTTTATTCATGTCTTTTTTTCTTTTGTGTACTCAGGAAAATAATATAATTTGTTAACGTCACGGTCTGTAGATTTTGTTAGGCCAATGAGGACTTCTACTTATTGTTATTTGTTGACTTTTTAGTTTGCTTTTCACTCTTATTCTTCAGCTCTCATTTTGATTACTATTTGGAAGAGTTTCATTATAGCTTTCTTTCAGTGATTATTCTAGCATTCTAAGTTCTGGGTTTTCTGGTAATTATGGGTTAAGCAGTCTTGCAGTTTTATATTTGATGTTTTAGATGGATGTACCCTCCATTGCAGTCCTCTATGTTGCGTGTTAAGCTACATACACACTGAAAGTGATGTGTGGACCAGCAGCTGTGGGGAGTGTAACTGCTGGTGAAGGAAGTACAGTTACTTACAGGTGAGCAACTGAATAAGATGCTAACAAATTTAAACTAAGACCACAGCAATATGCTAATGACCAAAGCTATCAGAAGTAGATTTTTGGGTCTGTGTGAGGGGAGCCTTATTCATTTGATCCTACATTGTCACCATGATTGCCAAACCTCCAAAATGGCAAACAACTTCATGTAACGTGGTTACATGGTCACATGTCTGCATGCTCAATAGAGAATATCTCTCACTAATTTGTGTTTTAATTAAAATTTACATGACATTAAAGGTACTCTCTGTGTGTTTTTGCAATTTGACACGACTCCTCAGAAATATGGAATTACAATATCTTTAATGTGTAAAAGTCTAGGATATTCTACTGCAAAGTTTTATTATATCAGAGTTTCGACCTCTCTAATGGTCTCTGAAGTTCTGCTGGACCCTTGCAGTTGAACACACACTTGAACATGCACACGCAGTCACTTAATAGCGTGTGATTGCATCCTATATTTATCTCATGTGATTTGTCTCTAGGTAAATCTAAAGAGCCTGATTGAACCACTGTCAGTAAAAGAAATGAGGAACAGTTACCAACTTTTCTGAAGAGCTCAGAGCTCAGGAAAGCTTGGATCAAAACCAAACGCTCTTGTTTCTCTTTTTTTGTTGCTTGTGTGTGTGTCTGTCTGGAAGCTGCAAATGCACCATAGACTCCTGCACGTGTATTGTTGACAGACAGTTATCGACCTTCTTCTCCACAGGTGTGCAGCTTAAGGCGACTCGAACACGGTCATCAACAGAAATCCATATCTCCCACTGTGTGTTTGCTCAACTGTGTTATTTGTGTTTATCTGTGTGGTGTGAGAAGCCTTCAATACTGCCTGCTTCTGAACAAAGTGCTCGTCTGCAGAACACTGGCAGGAGCTTTGGTACAGTTACCATTACAGTTATAACATTAATAATAATAACAACAACAATGATAGGTATTTGCATTTGTGCTCTGAACAATAATCAAAATCAGTCTAAAAAATAGTTAAAAAAGGAAAAGATCTTGACAAGGGACAAATAAAGACATTTCCATCAAATCAAGTATGGCATTAGTTCAAGAAGTTGCAGTCCCTGCAGATCAGCAGACCTCAGAAGACATCACCTTCCCAAACCTCCTACATCTGGTTATCAAGCATGCAGGGGAAGCAGTGTCATCAGCGTCAGCAGTAATCTTTCTCTGTCTTTATTCATCTGTCTTATTCTATTTCCATGCAAAAGATTTAGGCGCCCATCTTCCTACACCTTTCTACTTACATTGTTTTTTTTCCTGATCTCCACCCATCCAAGCTTTTCTGAAGAGATTTGTTGTCCACAACATAAATCTAATCTAATGAGAGGATAATATTGCTTCTTATATATATATATGTATATATATATATATATATATATA